ACAAGGGACTTTATATATAGTAGTATGTCATTGATGTCAGCTATGGTCTGTATACCTTGTACATGTACTGGAAGGTATTTTGGGGGTCAACGCCCCTCGCAGCCCAGCCCATCACCAGGCTTATTTACAACTAGCTAATAGTACCAGCAGGTGTTAGGCAAATACCCTACGCGTCCCGCCCTACGCAGGAGACAGATACCACCAGGATAATAGCGTTCTGGACTTTCACTATCACACAGTCTGTATCAGGGACTACACCCATCTACCTTCGTCGCCAGAGTCGATGGTTCCTCACGCCCGACATTTAAGCAAGGCTAAGGGAAACCTGCTTGGCATTTGAGATGCAACGCTCGACATGTTCGGCATAATATTTGGCCCACTCTGGAAGTTTACATACACTCTCATTCTGTAATACGGTAGCAACCGTTCATAGGAGAAAGACGTAGTGACTGATTTCTACTGTATGTTGTAGCTAGGCTTCAGATATTGAGATATTACAGGGATCACAATGTGAATAAGTAACCTAGGTAATTTACATAAATGTTAAACTATGCAATAAGATCACAGTAAACAGGTGATTTCACAGTATGCAAAACAACCACTGTGAAAAATAGTGAACTTCCTAGCGCTTTTGTGATTTCTCACATTATCAAGGAACAGTTCCCTGATAATGTGAGAAATCACGAAAGCGCTTGGAAGTTCACTATTTTTTCACAGTGGTTGTTTTGCAAGTGTTAAATAAGGCATAATCATTGTACTTATGTGTACCTATCCAGAGGGTGGTAGTCAAAGGATCACAGAGGTACATAATGGGTCCAGGGACTGTACCTCAACATTACAGAGGTACATAATGGGCCCAGAGAATGGACCCCCAAAGTTTTAATAACTAAATAAGTTAGTGTTAATGAGTTATTTAAATGTTAATATCTAATCAAGCATGTCAATAAATTAGAGAAAGTGCAAAGGTTTGCAACAAGACTAGTCCCAGAGCTACGGGGAATGTCCAACGAAGAAAGGTTAAGGGAAATTGGCCTGACGACACTGGAAGACAGGAGGGTCAGGGGAGACATGATAACGACACATAAAATACTGCAAAGAATTGACAAGGTGGAAAGAGACAGGATGTTCCAGAGACTGGACACAGACACAAGAGGTCACAATTGGAAGTTGAAGACTCCTGCGAGTCAAAGGGGAAAAGGGTGCGCCTTATATGTCGGAATATACGGTAAATGGTCTTCTACTGGCATTTTTTTTGTTACTAATGGTTGCTAGATGTTTTTTCTTGTTTGTTTCCAAGAATTCGTCACAATTTGTATTCTATATGTGGACTGATTTCGCTTTCTAGCATTTCCATTATCTTATTTTTAAGTTATAGTTGTTTATCTGTGTGTGTGTGTGTGTGTGTGTGTGTGTGTGTGTGTGTGTGTGTATTGGGTATGCTTGTGTATTATGTACGTATGTATACATTGTGTGCATATTGCGTATGAGTGTGCATTATGCATGTGTGTGTATGTGTATTGTAACTGTGTATGTATATCTGTTTATTGTATTTGTGTGTATGTATGTTTGTGTATTGTATAAGTTAAGAGACAACACAATAAGTGTCAGGGGCCCAAGTCTGTTCAACTGCCTCCTTGCATACATGAAGGGGATTACCAATAGACCCTTGGCTGTCTTTAAGAGCCCTGGCTGTCTTCAAGAGCCCTGGCTGTCTTCAAGAGCCCTGGCTGTCTTCAAGACCTCTGGCTGCCTTCAAGACTCCTGTCTGTCTTCAAGATCCCTGGTTGTCTTCAAAACCCTTGGCTGTCTTCAAGAGCCCTGGCTGTCTTCAAGACCCCTGGCTGTCTTCAAGACCTCTGGCTGTCTTCAAGACCCCTGGCTGTCATCAAGACTCCTGGCTGTCTTCAAGACCTCTGGCTATCTTCAAGACCCCTGGCTGTCTTCAAGACCTCTGACTGTCTTCAAGACCTCTGGCTGTCTTCAAGACCTCTGGCTGTCTTCAAGACCTCTGGGTGTCTTAAAGACCCCCTGGCTGTCTTCAAGAACCCTGGCTGTCTTCAAGATCCCTGGCTGTCTTCAAGACCCCTGGCTGTCTTCAAGACCTCTGGCTGTCTTCAAGATCCCTGGCTGTCTTCAAGACCTCTGGCTGTCTTCAAGACCCCTGGCTGTCTTCAAGACCCCTGGCTGTCTTCAAGACCTCTGGCTGTCTTCAAGACCCCTGGCTGTCATCAAGACCCCTGGCTGTCTTCAAGACCTCTGGATGTCTTCAAGACCCTTGGCTGTCTTCAAGACCCCTGGCTGTCTTTAAGACCCCTGGATGTCTTCAAGACCTCTGGCTGTCTTCAAGACCCCTGGCTGTCTTCAAGATCCCTGGCTGTCTTCAAGATCCCTGGCTGTCTTCAAGACCCCTGGCTGTCTTCAAGACCCCTGGCTGTCTTCAAGAAGGAGCTGGACATACACCTAAACTCAGTACCTGACCAGCCGGGCTGTCGTTCCTATGTTGGTTCACGTGCGGCCAGCAGTAACAGCCTGGTTGATCAGGCCCTGATCCACCGCTAGGCCTGGTCATGGACCGGACTGCGGGGGCGCTGACCCCCGGAACACCTCCAGGTATATGTGTGTGTGCGCATGTATTATGTAATGGTGAATTCACGCACATGTGTACGTATTTCCGTGCGCTAAAGTATACGCATGTACGTATTTTTTTGTCTGTGCATGCGTATGTGTACACGTCCAGATATATATGCACTGTACGTATCTGAGAGCGTACAGACATTATATCACTCAACATGGTCCCTACGGGCTTAGCGCATATATAACCAAATTCTCAAGTATAACAATGTAATTTTATGAGAGCGCTAAATTCAAACCGGTTATATAGCACGAATGGCAAGAGTTGTGCCACAAGTATACTCACGACGGAGCGGAGGATCGAGCCTGCACCACTCCCAGCACCGCTTTGACTCACATCATGACGTTCAAGTGTGAGCAAGGTGATAATTCTGAAGGGAGGTCAAGGGGAAAATAGGTCAGCGTGTAAAGGGGCTGTGGTGGTGTTCTGAGCACCAGGAAACACTGCAAGTGTCTCTCTCCTGTGTTCTGACCGCCAGGAAACGCGATGTCTCTCTCTTGTGTTTTGACCGCCACGAAACACGTCAAGTGTCTCTCCCCTATGTTTTGACCGCCACGAAACACGACAAGCGTCTCCTGTGTTCTGACCGCCAGGAAACTCAAGTGTCTCTCTCCTGTGTTCTGACCGCCAGGAAACACAAGTGTCTCTCTCCTGTGTTCTCACCGCCAGGAAACACAACAAGTGTCTCTACCCTATGTTTTGGCCGCCAGGAAACACGTCAAGTGTCTCTCCCCTATGTTTTGACCGCCAGGAAAAACGACAAGCGTCTCTCTCCTGTGTTCTGACCGCCAGGAAACACAAGTGTCTCTCTCCTGTGTTCTGACCGCCAGGAAACACGACAAGCGCCTCTCTCCTGCGTTCTGAAGGCCAGGAAACACAACAAGTGTCTCTTCCCTATGTTTTGACCGCCAGGAAACACGACAAGTGTCTCTCTTCTGTGTTTAGACCGCCAGGAAACACAAGTGTCTCTCTCCTGTGTTCTGACCGCCAGGAAACACGACAAGTGTCTTTTCCCTATGTTTTGACCGCCAGGAAACACGATAAGTGTTTCTCCCCTGTGTTTTGACCTCCAGGAAACACGACAAGTGTCTCTCTCCTGTATTCTGACCGCCGGGAAACACGACAAGTGTCTCTTCCCTATGTTTTGACCGCCAGGAAACACAACAAATGTTTCTCCCCTGTGTTTTGACCACCAGGAAACACAAGTATTTCTCCCCTGTGTTTTAACGGCCAGGAAACACTAGTTTTTCTCCCCTGTGTTTTAACCGCCAGGAAACACTAGTGTTTCTCCCCTGTGTTTTAACAGCCAGGAAACACTAGTGTTTCTCCCCTGTGTTTTGACAGCCAGGAAACACGACAAGTGTCTCTCCCCTGTGTTCTGACCGCCAGGAAACACGACAAGTGTCTCTTTCCTGTGTTATGATCGCCAGGAAACACGACAAGTGTCTCTCCCTTGTGTGTGTTTTAACCGCCAGGAAACACAAGTGTCTCTCTCCTGTCTTCTGACCAAGAAACACAAATGTCTCTCCTAACAAGGGTCTATTGTCAGGTAATGGCCAGCAACTCACTGGTTAAGCAACTGCTGTCGTACCTGTGCTCGGCAGCAGTGACCAAACGTCCACTACCACTCCAGTCAAGAATATTTTAATACCTAAAACAGTGATTAAAGTCAACTATCAGTGTACGTACACTGACAGATACACACCTCTAGGTGTATATGTTGTATTATATATATATATATATATATATATATAATATATATATATATATATATATATATATATATATATATATATATATATATATATATATATATATATATATATATGCAAAACAACCACTCTGAAAAAATAGAGAAATTCCAAGCGCTTTCGTGACTACTCACATTATCAAGGAACTGCAATAGACACGAAAGCGCTTGGAATTTCTCTATTTTTTCAGAGTGGTTGTTTTGCATATTCCGAAATCACCTGTTTACTGTGATCTTATTGCATATATATATATGTCAAGGATAATCTAGGAAAGCCAAGCATTATGGTTCTTGTGGTTCTTAAGGTCCTCCTCCGGGATGCCACCCACAACCCTCGACCAAATCATACGTAGAAGATTCTCCCAGACTTCACTCCCTACCCAGGGTTCGGCTCCGGGAACTTTCGAAATGGTTGATGAGTATGCAAGACACGGAATTCCTCTCTAGGCAAGGGCACGAGAATCAAAAATGAAAGTTTACCTTGAAATTCCGCCAGTACATCCTTGAGAAACGGCCCATTAAATTTTGTAACAGACCACAGCCCCTGGAAAAAGCTATCGGACTGGCCACCTCCCCCCCTCATATATAAATGAGGAGCGGGAAGAGTTTACTGTCAGTCTTCTCTGTTGCCTCGCGATGAACACATTAGTAAGATTATTCCCATTTTTCTTGATTATCTTAGCCGTGGGGCAGAACTTAGCACATTATGGGTTCTGGTATAAACATTGATGAGAAATACTCACAAACTGGTCTAGAAAGACACGTTAACAAACATTAGGAACATATTAGAAAACACTTTGGTCCTGGGACCTTGAGCACTTCTAACACAGTATGTATAGGTGGAGAGTGAGGTGTGAGTGATACATGGTGACCTGACCTCATTCTCTGCCTGTCCTCATCCCAACATGGCGCTCTTCAGGTCACCAAGCGTCACTCACACCTCACTCTACACCCATATATACTGTCTTAAACCTCTGTATGTTAGAAGTGATCAAGGTCCCAGGACCAAGACGTTTTCTTAATAAATATGTCGTAGTGTTTGCCTACGTGTTTTTCTAAACACAAATGGGTCCTTCAGTATCCGGGAATGAGAGGTAATGAGGTGTGACCCTAGTAATGGGAAGGCAGTTCTAATTTCATGGGGCATCTGCCCTTCGCCAGTACTAAGGGTACATGAGAACATAAGAAAGGAGGAACACTGCAGCAGGCCTACTGGCCTATACTAGGCAGGTCTTACCCAAACACACCAACCTTACGTACATATTTAGTTATATATATTAGTATACGTCTGCATATCTCCTGACCCTAGAAGCTCATTGTAATTACAACATATTCTGTCTCGCGAAATCGTTCTAACACGATTTCCAACAAATCTTGAAATGGGTGGGGCTTGTACCCAGTGAATTTTCAGACTCACTTGCCATGGGTTCAACCCCTACCCGTTCCGTGGTTTGTGATAAATTCTGATTATTCTAGGTGAAGAGATATCTTCCTCGCCATAAGAGAACGGAGGATCAAGCCTCCACCACTCCTTGTGCTCAATTTCACACACTATTTCACAGTAAAAATATTTATTATTATAATTATTATTATTATTATTATTATTATTATTATTATTATTATTATTATTATTATTATTATCATTATTATTATTATTATTATTATTATTATTATTATTATTATTAAAGGTACTGTTCCTGGTGGGTGTGCTGGCTGTGGTTTGGGCAGACAAGGCTCCTGCAGTGTCCTACGGTCCACCTCCCTCAGCGTCCTACGGACCTCCTCAGGTAGGTACCTTTGTTAGTGTAAACAGAATACAAGTCACGGTACGTAAATATAACTTCCAATGTGTGGTTCAGCTGTGACTGCTGTTGATAATGGATTAGCGATGACAGTTTACTTCTCCGATGTTTACATGAGGCGTTGTGGGTAGGATAATAACAATGGAGTAGAGCTGAGTAAGCTTTTATGAAGGTAACGGTAACAGGGATGAGCTTGGGAAAGCTTAGCTTTGAGCGATGCATTAACTAAAAGCTTGATCGGCTGTGAGTGTCGCTGCGTTAACCTAGTCGTACTTTTCTCAGTTTGATAAAGCTATAAACAGAGCGGTTCCTCAGCCATGCAGCATATATGGTTGAAGAACCGACAGGATAATGACACAGACACTTGTTCACAAGTGTCTATTTCATTACATATGGATGAGTTTACCTAAGAAATCATTGTCCTCTGTATCAGTACACTAAGATTTTCACATCCTTCAGGTGCCAGTTCGCAAAACCTCCGAAGAAGTCTTCGAACCGGCCAAGTATGGCTACGGGTACACGGTCCAAGACGGGGAGACCAGCAACGACTTCGCCCACCAAGAAGATCGCGAAGATGAGAACACTAAAGGGTCGTACAGCGTTCAGCTCCCCGACGGTCGTCGGCAGATTGTGTCGTACTATGTGGATGGTGATTCCGGTTACGTTGTTGACGTGAAGTACGAGGGAGAGGCTCGCTACCCTGACTCCAGTGAGATTAGATCCTACGAACCTCCCAGACCTCGCTATTCTGCACCTAAGAAGGATGATTCAAAGGAGGTCGTTCCCGTGTACGTTCCACCAAGGCCCCGGTACACTGCCCCTAAGAAGGAATCAGAGGAGGCTGTCCCCGTGTACACTCCACCAAGGACTCAGCATTTCGCTCCTCAGCAGGATGATTCCGAGGAAGAGGCCCCCGTGTACACTCCACCAAGGACTCAGTATTTCGCTCCTCAGCAGGATGATTCCGAGGAAGAGGCCCCCGTGTACACCCCACCCAGACCCCGCTACTCAGAACCCCAGGAAGAATCAGACGAAGTACTCCCCGTGTACGGTCCACCCAGTCGATCATACGGCATCCCCGAGTAATCAGTGATCATTCCACCCTCTAACAGCTAGATATAGCAATATTATATTTATGAGGAGGCTCTAAGCACGTAGGGGTCACACAGCGCCCGAGGAATGGGAGTCAATCGGGTTTCTTGCAAGAGACTGGTAGATCCTGTTCTTAAAACCTTACCCCAAGAACGACACAAGACATCCTGGCGCATCCTGCCATCAGGCAGGATGTGTCAACTTATTAATAGTATTCCCTCATCTTTTGCCTCATATCTCGCCTATCCTACCTCATATCTCGCCTATCCTGCCTCATATCTCGCCTATCTTGCCTCCTATCTCGCCCATCCTGCCTCATATCTCGCCCATCCTGCCTCATATCTCGCCTATCTTGCCTCCTATCTCGCCTATCCTGCCTCATATCTCGCCCATCCTTCCTCATATCTCGCCTATCCTGCCTCATATCTCGCCTATCCTGCCTCATATCTCGCCTATCTTGCCTCCTATCTCGCCCATCCTGCCTCATATCTCGCCTATCCTGCCTCATATCTCGCCTATCCTGCCTCATATCTCGCCTATCCTGCCTCATATCCTGCTTCATCTCCCTCAGATCTTGTCTATTCTTCCTCCCCTTTGAAAAGTAAACTTTTCTTTACATACTTGTATATTCTGTGATCTTAATTTACTGTATGCATATATATATATATATATATATATATATATATATATATATATATATATATATATATATATATATATATATATATATATATATATATATATTATATGTATATATATATATGTATAATTACGTATAATAATATTCATTAATATTATTTATAATGATCCTAAAATTTGTTTTATTTAACTACGGCCATTTATTGTACGTAAATGGCCTGAAAGTTCCATTGTAGATAATAGAGGAATTTATTTGTAATTTAATACTATAAACTGGTTCTTTCTACAGCCTTTTCTTTACTACTGTGACTTTGTCATATTTTCCATAGTACATTTAATGGCTTTTCTTTCAAAGGCCAAAAAATTAATTATAACTTGTGAAAAATTGAGAAGAATTTTGGTCACACTGGAGAACACAGCCTCACACCTCATCTTGGTCACACTGGAGAACACAGCCTCACACCTCATCTTGGTCACACTGGAGAACACAGCCTCACACCTCATCTTGGTCACACTGGAGAACACAGCCTCACACCTCGTCTTGGTCACACTGGAGAAAACAGCCTCACACCTCATCTTGGTCACACTGGAGAACACAGCCTCACACCTCATCTTGGTCACACTGGAGAACACAGCCTCACACCTCGTCTTGGTCACACTGGAGAACACAGCCTCACACCTCATCTTGGTGACACAGGAGAACACAGCCTCACACCTCATCTTGGTCACACTGGAGAACACAGCCTCACACCTCATCTTGGTGACACAGGAGAACACAGCCTCACACCTCATCTTGGCCACACTGGAGAACACAGCCTCACACCTCATCTTGGTCACACTGGAGAACACAGCCTCACACCTCATCTTGGCCACACTGGAGAACACAGCCTCACACCTCATCTTGGTCACACTGGAGAACACAGCCTCACACCTCATCTTGGTCACACTGGAGAACACAGCCTCACACCTCGTCTTGGTCACACTGGAGAACACAGCCTCACACCTCGTCTTGGCCACACTGGAGAACACAGCCTCACACCTCGTCTTGGCCACACTGGAGAACACAGCCTCACACCTCATCTTGGCCACGCTGGAGAACACAGCCTCACACCTCATCTTGGTCACACTGGAGAACACAGCCTCACACCTCATCTTGGTCACACTGGAGAACACAGCCTCACACCTCATCTTGGCCACACTGGAGAACACAGCCTCACACCTCATCTTGGCCACACAGGGGAACACAGCCTCACACCTCATCTTGGTCACACTGGAGAACACAGCCTCACACCTCATCTTGGTCACACAGGAGAACACAGCCTCACACCTCATCTTGGTCACACAGGAGAACACAGCCTCACATCTCATCTTGGTCACATAGGAGAACACAGCCTCACACCTCATCTTGGTCACACTGGAGAACACAGCCTCACACCTCATCTTGGTCACACAGGAGAAAAACAGCCTCACACCTCATCTTGGTCACACTGGAGAACACAGCCTCACACCTCATCTTGGTCACACTGGAGAACACAGCCTCACACCTCATCTTGGTGACACAGGAGAACACAGCCTCACACCTCATCTTGGTCACACAGGAGAACACAGCCTCACACCTCATCTTGGTCACACAGGAGAACACAGCCTCACACCTCATCTTGGTCACACTGGAGAACACAGCCTCACACCTCATCTTGGTGACACAGGAGAACACAGCCTCACACCTCATCTTGGTCACACTGGAGAACACAGCCTCACACCTCATCTTGGTGACACAGGAGAACACAGCCTCACACCTCATCTTGGTGACACAGGAGAACACAGCCTCACACCTCATCTTGGTCACACAGGAGAACACAGCCTCACACCTCATCTCATTACTCATCTTTGGTATGAGTTAAATATGTTTCATTAGTTACCTGAGGCCGGTTAGGTGAGGTTAGGTGAGGTTAGGTTAGGTGAGGTTAGGTTAGGTTAGGTTAGGTTAGGTTAGGTTAGGTTAGGTTACGTTACGTTACGTTAGGTGAGGTTAGGTTAGGTTAGATTAGGTTAGGTTACGTTATGTTACGTTACGTTAGGTGAGGTTAGGTTAGGTTAGGTTAGGTTAGGTTAGGTTAGGTTAGGTTAGGTGAGGTTAGGTTAGGTTAGGTTAGGTTAGGTTAGGTTAGGTTAGGTGAGGTTAGGTTAGGTTAGGTTAGGTTAGGTTAGGTTAGGTTAGGTTAGGTTAGGTTAGGTGAGGTTAGGTTAGGTTAGATTAGGTTAGGTTAGGTTAGGTTAGATTAGGTTAGGTTACGTTACGTTACGTTAGGTGAGGTTAGGTTAGGTTAGGTTAGGTTAGGTGAGGTTAGGTTAGGTTAGATTAGGTTAGGTTAGGTTAGGTTAGTTAGGTTAGGTTAGTGGGTTAGGTTAGGTTTAGGTTAGGTTAGGTTAGGTTAGGTTAGGTGAGGTTAGGTTAGGTTAGGTTAGGTTAGTGAGGTTAGGTAGGTTAGGTGAGGTTAGGTAGGTTAGGTGTAGGTTAGGGTTAGGTTAGGTTAGGTGAGGTTAGGTTAGGTTAGGTTAGGTTAGGTTAGTTAGGTTAGGTAGTGAGTTAGGTTAGGGTTAGGTTAGGTTAAGGTTAGGCTAGGTTATGGTTAGGTGAGGTTAGGTTAGGTTAGGTAGGTTAGGTTAGTGAGGTGTAGGTTATGGTTAGGTTAGGTTAGGTTAGGTTAGGTTAGGTTAGGTTAGGTTAGGTTAGGTTAGGTGAGGTTAGGTTAGGTTAGGGAGGTAGGTTAGGTTAGGTTAGGTTAGGTTAGGTTAGGTTAGGTTAGGTTAGGTTAGGTTAGGTTAGGTTAGGTTAGGTTAGGTTAGGTGAGGTTAGGTTAGGTTAGGTTAGGTTAGGTGAGGTTATGTTAGGTTAGGTTAGGTTAGGTTAGGTTAGGTTAGGTGAGGTTAGGTTAGGTTAGGTTAGGTTAGGTTAGGTTAGGTTAGGTTAGGTTAGGTTAGGTTAGGTGAGGTTAGGTTAGGTTAGGTTAGGTTAGGTTAGGTTAGGTTAGGTTAGGTTAGGTGAGGTTAGGTTAGGTTAGGTTAGGTTAGGTAAGGTTTATCAGGAAATAGGACAAATGTTTCCTGACGCGGGTCTTAGCCATATGATGACCCACAGCTGGAGCTTTTGGTCATCTGACAGAGACCTTCCACTGGCTTACAACTTCACCACTTTAAAAATCATAATTATTATTATAATCATTAAATATATGAGACTGGTGATCACCTCTCCTTGGTTATGTTATTACCGTGTTCTATGTCTCCAGAAATGGCTTTGGAGCCTTTCCAGATGTGGCCTTTTAATGGGGCCTTTGAAGTGCGTAATGGGTTAATAATTCCTTCCACTTAGGTAATAGGTCGGTAGACATCACCCATTCAATTATTTTCTATCCTTTTCTCATGTGAGATAAATAGGGCTGTTACCCATTAATTTCTGTCTCACTAACATGTTAGGTGAGACATATATCTTAAAACTTCCCGTATTTATTTTACACTGGGCGATATTTGTTTCTATTTGTCTCGTAATATTTCTCACTCCCTTTATTACGGAGACCTCAAGCCAACCTATCTCGCCTATCCTGCCTCATATCCTGTCTATCCTGCCTCATATCTTGCCTATCCTGTCTCATATCTTGCCCTTCCTGCTTCATATTTTGCTTATCCTGCCTCATATCTTGTCTATCCTGCCTCATATCTTGTCTATCCTGTCTCATATCTTGTCTATCCTGCCTCATATCTTGTCTATCCTGCCTCATATCTTGTCTATCCTGCCTCATATCTTGTCTATCCTGCATCATATCTTGTCTATCCTGCCTCATATCTTGTCTATCCTGCCTCATATCTCGTCTATCCTGCCTCATATCTCGCCTATCCTGCAGCATATCTTGTCTATCCTGTCTTATATCTTGCCTATCCTGCTTCATATCTTGCTTATCCTGTCTCATATCTTTTCTATCCTGCCTCATATCTCGCCTATCCTGCCGCATATCTTGTCTATCCTGTCTCATATCATGCCTATCCTGCTTCATATCTTGCTTATCCTGCCTCATATCTTGTCTATCCTGCCTCATATCCTGTCTATCCTATCTCACATCTTGCCTATCCTGCCTCATATCTTGTCTGTCCTGCCTCACATCTTGTCTATCCTGCCTCATATCTTGTCTATCCTGCCTCACATCTTGTCTATCCTGCCTCATATATTGTCTTTCCTCCCTCATATCTTGTCTATCCTGCCTCATATCTTGTCTATCCTGCCTCATATTTTGTCTATCCTGCCTCATATTTTGTCTATCCTGCCTCATATCTTGTCTATCCTGCCTCATGTCTTGTCTATCCTGCCTCATATCTTGTCTATCCTGCCTCATATCTCGCCTATCCTACCTTATATCTCGCCTATCCTGCCTTATATCTCGCCCAACCTGCCTTATATCTCGCCTATCCTGCCTTATATCTTGCATATCCTGTCTTATATCTCGCATTTCCTGCCTCATATCTTGCCTATCCTGCCTCATATCTTGCCTATCCTCTCTCATATCTTGTCTATTCTGCCTCATATCTTGTCTATCCTGCCTCATATCTTGTCTATCCTGACTCATATCTTGCTTATCCTGTCTCATATATTGTCTATCCTGCCTCATATCTTGTCTATCATGACTCATATCTTGCTTTTCCTGCTTCATATCTTGCCTATCCTGCCTCATATCTTGTCTATCCTACCTCATATCTTGTCTATCCTGCCTCTTATCTTGCCTATCCTGCCTTATATCTCGTCTATCCTGACTCATATCTTGACTATCCTGCCTCATATCTCCCCTATCCTGCCTCATATCTCGCCTATCCTGCCTTATACCTGAAACTGAACAGCGCGGGACATGCTAATCCCTACCTAGGGAACTTATCCTGCCCAACTTAACGATACTTAAGTTTCGTATCGAAGGACGTACGTCCTTGCAAT